TCTGGAGTGACACGATGATCAGTTCCGCTAATCTCTTTTGAAGATGCGTGTGATGGATGTATATTAAGTATACTCATGTTCATGCTCGTGCTCGTACTCGCGCTCATGTTCGTGCTCGTGCGGTATCAGATCTACATGACACCATCCCCATAGTCCCAGCTCACCAGTCCCTCCCTCCAACCCACCACACCCACCCTCCTCCGCTCGATGAAGAAGAATAAACCAACCAAAACCCATACCCACGCCCATGCAACATAGGCACGAAAAAAAGCCAAAAAATCCCAATAAGCCATCGCACATGCGCCAAGAACTCCTGACGCGGGGTTTGGAGGTAGATTACAAGACAGAAAGAGTGAAAGGGCAAGGAGGAAGAGGAAAAGGAAGAAGGAAGAACAAGAACGCATGCGTGTTGAAAATGCAACTGAGAAATGTGAAATTGAATGTGAATCTAAAATGTGGTATGCTGTTGAAGGGAAAAACGGTGGGTTTGGGGTATAACGAAGAAGAAAAAGTAGAAAAAAAAAACTGTGCAATCGTACAACCACTATACGTGTATAGTACACGCTTCATCGCTCTTCATTCGTACCCATCGTCCATATCTTTAAAAAAAATCCGAAAGCCGGTCGTCGTCCAGCCCGCCCCGTGGCAGACTCGACCTTTCACCACGGGCGGTCGATACTATCCATCCAGCCAAAGACCTCTCCAATATGCGTCCGCAGCTTAGCACAAATCTTGCTATCCTGCTGGTCTCTACATCCTTCTTCCGCAATCACGTCCCACAGCCGGCGTTCGACGTCGTAGCCGACCATGTGGATCATGTCTTCCTTGACATTCCCCCACATGCGGTGCGGCGTCCCGTCCGGTTCGTACGTGGGCATATTCTTGTCGTTCAAAACGACGGCGGGGTTCAGTTTGAGAATGTTTTGGTGGAGAAAGAGACGGCGGGGAGGGGCTGGGGCCTTGCGGGTGTGGTTGAGGGCTTTGGCAACGGCGGGGTCCGGGTGCGCGAGATCAGCGTCTTCCCAGATGCCATTCGCGTGCAGGTGACTTTTCATAGGGGGAAGGTATTCGAAATCGACGCCGGGGTCTGCCTGGGAAATGCCAATGCCCCGGAATTCGCCTTTGATATGGCGACCGAGGCTATGGGGTCCGGTCTTGACTTGGTAGTAGGGAAGCCCGACTGCCATGGCAGCCTGGACAAATGTTTCCTTGTCGCCGGCACCTGGCGCGCCCTGGGAGAGGAGGATGTAGTAAAAATCCGGGCCGTAGTAGTTGTAATACACCATCATGAGGAGAGAGTCGCGATGGATGTCTTTGTTGATCAGCACCTGGCCACTTTCAGTGGAAAGGCGAGCATCAAACTTCTCCTCGGGGATACCGGCGATGTGGTAGAAATGGGAAGAAATGGAGAGGGCCCAGAAGTCGGGCCAAGTGACCAGGCCGTGGGTGGTGTAGGGTGCAGTTGTGAAGAGCACGCTGGGATCGTAAGCGGGAAATGAATCGCTGTCGAGAAACAGGACATGCTGAAAGGAGGAGAACAAGAGAGCGAAGATCTTGAACTGGAAATGCTGTAGCGGTGCAACGTTGTGTGCCGAATTGAATATGTTGGACATGATGACACAACGTGCGTTCAAGGAGGGGAGTACGGTCTCGCAAACGACGGGATCGTATTTGGACCAGTCGTCAATGAAGATCTCAACAGGCATCTTGTTCCCTGTTCTCCGCAACATGCGGAGGGAGACGAGGCAGATGGGCATGTACTGTTTGTTGGAGGTCATGACAATTCCTGTCGTGCCTGCTGCAAACGGAAGCTTGGGCCCAAGGTGCTTCGCGGCAGTGCGCATCGAGTAGTGCGCTCTCAACAGTGCTCTTTCGTGGTACTCGGTGAAGTTGTATAGACGTTCTATGGGCTTGTTGTGCGTGTTGAGTGGTTCCCACCTTGGATCGGGAAAGTTCAAGGCGCCTGTGCCGTTGCCCAAGGCGAGGCTGTCGCATTGGGGTTGCGCAACGACAAGAGCAGTGGCTAGCTCACGCCAGAAGCCATGAGTAGCAGGAGAGAAGGTTGAAGCGGCTTCGGTGACATTCTTTCTCGAGAGGCTGAGGTGGGGTAGAATCGTGGACGTTGTTGCCTCATGATATGGTCGTGGGAGGATGAAGAGGCCAGTCAGAAGAAGGACGAGCGGGATGAGGAGGAGGCGCGGTATGGACGACAGAACATGAGGCGTACTGAGGAGCATGACCATGGCGGGCGAGAGTTGACGTGTCAGTGTGAGAGACTGCCCATGGAAGAAGGTGCGGGGGCAGAGGGGGAGGAAGTGGGAAAAAGGGTGGAAGATTGGGTGATGGCCAAAGGAAACCAAAGGAGATTTGCGGCAGTTGGCAGAGTTGTTGTTGGCCTGTGGGTATCGTGGGAATCGATTCAGTCCAACACCAAGCAGCACAAGATTGACCACTTGACCACCGTAGCGGGCACCGCCGTTGTAGCGCCGGCTGCAGCTAGCCAAGAACCGCTTTCCAGCCCCAAGGTTACGTACGGGTGAGCCCTGAGCGCGTTCGAGGGAGGATACGAGACGGTGAAAGCGGCGTCAGCAAGTCCAAGCCTTTTGGTCTCGTCAGCATCCTACCCCCAGCTACCAGCACTATACCCAGCCGTGTCTGCAGGGCTGGCTGGTCTCATACAAAGTAATAAGCAATGTAGAGCTTTAAAAAAAAACAAAAAGAAAAAAGAGGCCGAAACGTGTTGCCTACGAAGGCAGTTGGGTCGACGATGGGGCAACCAAGGGCAGCGAGCCCAAGTCCACCGTCACCAGTCCAGTCTAAAGCGGAGGCTGAGGCTTCTTCGTCCGCATGCATCTGGCTTACCGTAGTAGCGCGTCCTCGAGAGTACGGAGCTACCTGTACTCTACTCTTACTCTACACAGCCACCGCTGTTCTCACAAGGCCGAAAGATGAGCATTGTTGCCACCCACAAGCGCCATCCATGCCAACGTCCTTTCACTCCCACCGTGCCTACACAGAGTTGCCCGAGTCTCGCTCCCCTGTGTGCACCCTACGAACGCCTGAGTGCGCTGTTCTTGATGGGTGATGCGAGCTCTGGCCTCTTTCGGCGTTGATGCCTGTCCACGCTTACTCACATCCAGTACATATGCCGTGCTGAGTGAGAAGGGAGAAGGGCATCCAGATAGGCACTTGGGTGCCTAGTTGGTGGTCACCACAACTGCGCAAAAAGCGGCGGGGCCAGCCAGATACCGGCAGCCTTGTGTGACTTGTTCAGCCCGCCCACCGTTTCGGCTAGCTAATTCCCGACAAGCCTCGTCGCAAATTTCCACACAAAGGGCTTGTCTTGTATCTTTTGGCCCAGACTGGCTCGGCAAGGAAATTTGGGTGTTGGTGTTGTGTCGCGTTGCACCGTGGGCTAAGTGCAAGGGAAAACGGGTAGGAGGCGGGGGAGAAGAAAAGGGAGAAGAGAGAAGGAAGAGGGCAAGCCTGTTTCTTCAAAAGCTATATAACTGTGCATGGCTGTTTGTTTCAACATCGATAAGAAAGGGGGTCAAGAATAGCGGTGAGGCCGGAACCCAGTTACAGAGGTTGAGAGACAATCTTCCCTCCCATCCCAGTAGCAGATTACTGGGAGCCTGACGGTATCCAGGACCAGGGGCCCGAGAGAGAGAGAGAGAAAAAAAGATTTCGGTCCGGAGATTGTTCCGGGCCGGTCAGAGGAGCCAGCATGTACTCTAAGAAAGATGATCGCATAGATCACGATTTGCGAGTCGTGCAAGATGATGGAATCGGATGATGCTGAGAACTTCCCATCTACCTCAAACCCATCTTGATGATTTTCCCCTCGACGAGTTTTTTTTTTTTTTCATTGTCTGGTAAACAGCGCAACAAAGAAAGAGAAGAGGCAAGTGTGTTTTGTTTTCCCTTCGGTAGATGGTCTAATCATAGTGGCACAGGTGCCTGTTCTAGCGTACCGGGTAGGGAATAGTTGCAACCAGGCCACCGCATTAGGACAAGCTCTGTCTAGTCCTGCCAACCACTGGGCAACCCATTTGACCTTGCCTTGGTATGAAGACACAGGTTTCAAGAGTGCATCGCAACTGACCCAACATACCTGCGCAAGCCCGCCAGCATGTCTGGTAATGCCCATGACATCTCGTAAAGACTGCATATGGACAAATGTAGTTAAAATGGAGGCAGCTAACGTCAGTCTGTACTAGGAAACCACTAGAGCAGCTGAGCAACAACCCTACCACATCTACCAATACCCACGCACAACCTCCAGCTACCATCCCCACTCATATCCCCTTCTATACTATACCATGCCTACTGTTTAGGCACTCAAGAGTTACACACACACACACACACCACACAGACCTCCTCCCACCCTGCCTATAACCGTCCATCCATCTCACACTCCCCTTCTACGTACCCTTACATCCACCCTTCCCACTCAACCTCCCTATCCCCATCCTCACACTCCACCCTCTGCATAATAGATGTCGTGTGCTGTAGGCAATAGGCACGTCATCTATATTCCCCATATTCCCCATGTTACTTATAACCTTATCATCCATACCATGCCATCCCCCACGCATCCCCCCGCACCCAAACAAGCCAACCCCCCACCCCTCCCCACACGATAAAGATACCATACTAAACCCCATAGCTAGTAGCTGCACATCAACCCCAATCCCCATAACACTGCATCTTTTCTTTGGCAAAAAATGATGCTGTCAAATGTTGGAATTCAAGGGGGTGTGGATGTGGGCTTTGATGTGTTGGGATTTGCAAAGTTTTTTTTCTATCCTGACATGTCTGTATGCTAGAAGAAAAGGGGAAAATAGTATCTGCATTTGATGTCTTGACGAATGGACAGGTTCGACTGTATCGAAGAGGTAGTATCTAATACCCCCGCATGAGTATCACATCCTCCCCTCCCCGTCCCCGTTACCCCTCCACCTATCCCCTCCCTCCACACACACACACACACACACACAAAAATCAGCACATCCAGCACCATCACAAAACACAATTCAAATTAATTACGACTTCTCAAAACAAAAGGCCCTAGCTAAGCAGCAAGTATACCCACCCTTGCTAACCACACATCTCAATTTGGGGACAGCCGGCACGAGAAAAAAAAAAGAAAAAAGAGCGTGTGTATGAGTGAAGAAAGATGGTGAGAGAGAGCAAAGAAAAGAAAACAAGCAAGAGAATTCCGGGAAACACAATCAGACACAGACACAGACACACTAACCACACCTTACTTTCCCTTTACCCATTCCAAAAGAAAAAAGGCCATCACCAACCAACCAGATCCCTCTCAGCAAAAATGCAGTAGAAACAGAAAACCAAAAGAGAGAGAGAGAGAGAGAGAGAGAGAAAGAAAAAACAGGCTTCCGCAAAACCAATTCGATATCCCCGATCCCATGTATAGCCACCATCCCATGGTTATGTAAACTTTTTTTTGCCCATCCCGTTGTAATCTTCCAGCTTTTTGCAAAACCCTTTGTCGATCCCCAAACACCCAAACCACACAGAGGTATCGAACTCCGTCGCCAAATGATCTTCCCGTTCTATACACACCCACGCACACATACACACACACACACACACCCGATCCCGCTAGGTTTGCCTGCAAAATGCCACGAAATTTGAACCAGCCCGAATTGTTTGACAAAACTCCCCAAAAGCCAATCTTGCCCACGCCATCCTTTCCGAAATAAACAGCCCAATTCAAATTGCACGCAAGATCAAGGCCTCTGAAGATCATCATTCTATGCACACCTATGCCGGAGACTTGTTGGCAGGATTCGTGACATTGCGACGGTCATCGTTCATCGAGAGCGAGCCGAAGCCGGTCGACAAGAATGAAAAGGGATCATTCCGGCCATCACCGCCGTTGGGGGCACCCTGGTTGGGGTAGGGATCCGCAGAAGAGAAGGCAGCCTCAGCAGAGCGGCTATCAAAGGGCGTCGAGTGCATACCGCCATTGGGCACATATTGAGCGCCCATGGGAGGGTACGGGCTAGCAGCACCCATGCCAGAGGGAAGAGCGTACTGACTTGGGGGTCCGCCATATTGCTGAGCCGGATAGCCACCAGCACCATAGCCAGCGGGACCATAGGGACCTGCACCAGGGGTGCCACCCATCGAAGGAGGGCCCATACCGAAGCTCGAGGGCGTGTCCATTGGGGAGGGGAACGCAGAGTCAGCGACAACAGCAGCCCCGGCACGGCTGGCACCACAACGCAAGCAAGCCGTGTTCTTGGCAAAGTTGTGATAACCGCAACCATTTTCACCACACTTCCAGTCACCAGCACGGAACGGAACGACGCCGGTACCGCCACGCACATGTCCTCCACCGCCCATGCCATGACCGTGACCGTGACCGCCCATGTGATGTTGGGGAGGCCCCATCATGCCCGGATGACCGCCATTGTATCCATATCCGCCGTAGCCCATGGGATCGCCCCCAGGTGGGCCCTGCTGCATGGCAGGAAAGGAGCATCGGAAGCAGGCCGTACGACGCTGGAAGTTGGAGAACCCACAAGACGGGCAATTCCAGTCGCCAGGGCGGGGACGGTTCTTGCTGGGTGGAAAGGGTGTGATGATCTCGGCGGCGCGGTCAAGGACACGGCTATAGGAAGGGGAGACCTCGATTGCCTTCTCGTTCAAGGCGCGTCCATTCATACAGAGACTTTCAGCGGCCTAGCGCATGTCAGTTCAGTCGAGGTCATTGTACAACGGCAGCTATATACATACCTCTTCATGGGACGAGAAGATGGCAAAGCCAGTTCCTGTAGGCTTGTGCTGGTCGGGAGTGCGCAGAGTCCAGAAGGCAATAGGTCGGCCGCCAAACTGCGTGAACCAGCTCTCGAGCTCGGACTGGGTGGTGTCGTGGGGCAAGCCGCTCATGTGGAGGACCTTGCTACGTTCGGAGAGAAAAGCACGCACGTCAGCTCTGGCGTCCATTGGTTTGGTGAGCACGTCAGGGTGATCCTGAGGTGGTTGCGATTTGCGGATCAATCCACGAAGAACTCTGGCAAGTGTGACTGCCTCTTCCATGGCACGGCGCGGCGAAGCGGGGGCGAGTGCCTGCAAGTGGAAAGGAAGGTTGTGCTTGATCGGGGCCGACGATTGCACAGGCTCCACTTCCAAGGCGGCGCAGATGTTGGTCAATGCACTCGAGCCAAACGGCAGAGACTCAGGATGGTGGGCCTGCCACCTCTGATACTCTGTCCGCAGGTCGAAAGTGCGGGAGTGTTGGAGATAGGGGGGAAGGACCACGGCCTTGTCGCGAGCCTCGCGAGGCAGCTGTACGCGAAGATCCCACGAGTCGAGCGTGACGAAGGCGAATTCCTTGTTCTTGGGCGTGATGTGTTCGGAAGCAAATGCTGAAAAGCGTTCGATTGCGTCACGAAAGGAGCCGGCGTTCCGGACCTGATCATAGGTCAGGGTAGTCAGGCTGGCTGTGATGCATGTGTGAGTTGACGACGAAGGGATAGCGTGGGAGGGGGGTTCGAGCTGGATAGACTTACTGCATAGTGCGGTGATGGGCGTGTGTACGGGTTTCACCAAAACACTCTCACGGTGAAGCTGAGGCAGGCAGATCAGCAAATGCAAGTGCTATGGAGGGGCAACCAAACATACCTCTTCACACGACTTGGCGTCTAGCAGAATCCACCCCAACTCTATCACCTCGGCAGAATCCTTGGTCACATATACGCCATGTTCGTCGCACGTCGTAGCCACGTGTATGACTACATATAAATCGAGGTTTGGTGCCTGGGGCGTTGGCGTGGGCTGACTCGTCATGTTCTCGAGGTAGGAGGACGTAATCACTCAGTCGGCTCGAATTGGCTCGACTCTGGCTTGATAGTAGGTGGTAGCTTGCGGTGGCAGGGGCAGGAGCGAAGAGGAAGAACAAGAACAAGAAAAAGAAGAAGGGGAAGAAGAAGAAGAAAACGACGAAGACGAAGACGAAGACGAAGACGAAGACGAAGACGACGACGGTAGACGAGTGTCTAAGGGTAGTGAGTCGTCAGCGGACAGGTGCAGGTGGTTGTGAATGAAACGGGTGGTGAGGGGGTGAGTGGATTGCCAGCTCAGCGGACGCGGCGAGTGAAGGGGGGCGGGGGTAAAACAGACGTCGTGAGCGGGCAAGACGAGACGAGGCTGCGTAGATATCCCCAGGTAAGATGAGGCCAAACGACATAAGATGTGGACGGGCAATCTGAAGCTCCGTGCCAATGCGCCCCGGGAAGATTTCTTGACGTGGATGGAGGAGCTAAGGCCGCATCTTGAAGCCTTGGCGCCCGCAACTTGTCGCGACTCGCTGGCAAGCTGGCAAGCTGGATGGATGGAGCCTACGGTTGACGGCCGTTGACCCGCCTCAGCTGCACTAGCTTCCAGAGGGACGCCTTCTGGAAGACATGGAATCGGCATCATCATGCATCTACACACATGGTATAGGCAGGTAGGTGCTGTACGTAGGTGTACAGACATGGTATCCGATTCCCATGATGGTATACGCGGCTGATCAACAGAACAACGGTGCCTAGGGACCCTCTCATTATGATACTCATCGTCTTCCTCTCCGTTGAATGCACGCATGAATAATGGATAGGTAACCATATGCATGTACACATGTGCCCTGACCTACCGATAGATAGACTGTGTACCGTTACGATGACACTGACAGTGAGTCAATTCAGTGTCTGCATTCTGTTCTGCTTTTCCGGACTCCATTGCCTGTCTGAAACACGATGGATGGCCTCTGCCCTCTAGGTAAAGGCCAGTTGCACGCTTCTGCCAAACCTTCTCGCGTGTGCGGCTTGCGGCCGTCTCGGCCGTACCACTGTGTGCGCCCATGTGGTTTATTGATTGATGTATAGGTTACTCTGCACACACTATCGTGGCTGCAGTCCGAGCGCAACCACGTACCGGTACCGTATGGTACACATGGCTGTTATTTGTTTTGGCCCTGCACTGCCTCGGAAATACGAGGAGCCACGATGAATAACCCTGTACATGGACATGTTGTACCTCTACATGTGCACATATGCAGAGGAGACGGACTGTTGCGGTGCAGTATGTACCGTAGGTACCATCCTACCGCAGAGAGCCTGCCTACCTGCTCTCAAAGGTAGCCCACGCATACCTAGGACCAACCTCTGCCTTTCTCGCCGACTCCCCACCAAAAGCATTACGCACTTTTGGTCGATTTTGGCTGGCAGCGCGGCGAGGCGAGGCGCTTCACAGGCGGTTGGTGAGGGGGCATGGTCAGCACTTGGGTCGCACTCCCTGTCTGCTGCTGGACCGCTTCCCCGAACGGTGGACACTCTCTGCACCGTGGTCAATGATGGGACGCAAGTTGAGAAAATCTCCCAGGATTTGTACAGTAGGACGGGTCAGGGTGGGACTGCGACCTACTGTGTACCTACGTGCAAATCAAGCAATCCCAGGCCCACGTCTGGATAGGTAGGGATCAAAGCGCCAGAAATGCCATGCCCATCTCGGACACCTCTTGGCCATGATCCCGCACGGCCAAGGTACGCAGCAGTAGGTATCGGTAGCTGGTATGGGCATGTATGCACAGGAGGTAGGAGTAAGTACAAGACAATGTGTATCTATGTGCTAGGTGGGCATGTATCTACCTACTAGTCACTATGGCATGTACATTCAATGCGTCTCGCCGTGTCCTCTACCGGTAGAGGCACCGGTACTGTGTACACAGCCATACCGCCGAAGCTGTCCACGGATACCGGTACTATCCACTGATAGCTACTGTATATAGCACCTACTGTGTACCTACATGCCCTACGGTGTGCCCGCCCCCTCTCCCACTGTCCAGGTACCGTACCCGATCGGCGACCAGCGACCCCTGCCCAGATGGCCATGTCTCCCTCCACCGAGGCACGTGACCACTCACGTCCACGGCTCGCTGTTTCAGTCGCACCGTTGGTAACTGTATAGGGAGCGACGGCGGGTTGATCATCCTGCTAAAACTTGCTCTTCGGGCCTTGCTGACAGACACAAAGGGAGCACTGGGCCGACGGCTGGCCATTGGATGCGCTGGACTGCGTTTCCTCTGACTCTATTAGACGTGACCTGACCCCCTTTAAACACTTCCCTCTGGTCCGTTGGCCTATGTACGCGCCTTTCCCCAGCCCCCCACAGCCCACAGCCAACAGCCACTCTCTTGTCCAACGTTCAAAGAGAAAGCACGAGCACTCCACCTGGAGATTGCCTCCTCTGCATCCTCTGCATCCTCTCTGCATTCCTTCTGCACATCCGCGGGCATACACATACGGTATACCGCGTACCCAATCCCTTCCCCCCACCCTGGACCCAGTGGATGTATGTGTACCTACATACACACTGCATAGACAGGTAGTATAATACCCTGCCCTGTGCTAAGGTAGGTAGCTATTGTTGGCCGCCAACAAACCATGTCTCGGCATCGGGGCGGCTACACCCCGCAACCTCTCCCAGAACGGCGCGAGTAAGTGATACCTACCCTAAGCTTGATTCTCCCGTCCAGTGTCCACACGTCTTGAAACGAACAAAGACCCACCCATTTGTTCCTCCTCCCCCCATCCCTACTCTCCTCCATACGCTACTTGAGGCGTCATGTTGGGCACGCTTGTATCATTGCCATTCTGACTGTACCCCCAGAACTTCTCGTGGCATCATGGGCTTCTTCAAGCGCTTCCGCCGCCAAAAGAGTCCCAAGAAGACAGCCTCGCTTCCGCGCAACGACCTCTATGCCCCGACAACATACGCCTACCATGGCCCCGACCAGACGCAGCGCCTCCCTGACACGGTCCTGCGCCGCATCTTCGAGGAAGTCTGCCCCCACTCAGCCGACGAAACCCTCCAGGGCAGCGAGGACAGTGGCAATGATGGCTGCATGAGCTGTGACATGCGCGACCTGGCCCATTGCGCCCTGACCAGGCGACAGTGGTATGGCATTGCTGCTGGTCTGCTGTACGTGCACCACTCTCCCTACCTAGTACACCACTTGGGCCGGGGAACATGACGTCGCTCACCTTCTTTTTTTTGTGCAGATACAACAGCATACGCATTGATGCCGTGCATTATTGCGAGCTCGAGGAAATCTATGCCGACCAGCGACGGCGGAAATCTCGCAACGGCGAAGACATCGATGCCCCCACGCTGCGACTCCAGCAGCTCTCCCAGAGCGTGCGAGACAACCAATACCTCGGCCACCGTGTCCGCTTCATCAAGCTACCGTACATGACACGAGAGTCGTGCAAGGCTGATCTGGCACGCGCCGTCTCGGGCTGTCCCAATCTCGAGTTTGTCGATTTGCCAGACGGCTTCTACAACGGCGACCCCTCGTGCCAGCTGCTGCGGCAAGAACTCCAGGTACGATGTCCTCATATCCGCAAGATGAGGTATCTCGAGGGAGGCGAGCAGGCACTGGAGACGCTGCTCCAAGGCTATTGGCAAGAACTGCGGGTGGTGGAACTCAACAAGATTCACATCGAGCCGAGCGTGCTGAGGCAGGTCCTTGGTATGCTCCCTCGCTTGAGCGAGTTGATCGTCGTCAATGTCCAGTGGATGAATGACTCCACTTTCCACGATGCTCCAGGCTTGCCCTACTTCCCAGCCCTGGACACGCTCAAACTGGAAAAGGTGCATGGCATCACGGCAGAAGGCATAGCGCAGTACCTTTCCAGCCCCATGTCCGGCCACCGCCTGAAGACGCTCGTGATCAAGAACTGCCATGGTCTCCCTCCCACCTCACTGCACCAGGTGCTAGCGGCAGCCTACAAACTGCATACCCTCGAGTATAACACGGTCGTGTCTGCGTCGTTGCCTCTGGACCCAATACCACCCATGGCCTCCAATACCCTGCACAAGCTCAACTACGAGATTGTCACGAGCAACACACATCAGGCCTACCCAGCCGGCGCATCCTACTACCAATACCTCGCCAAGTCCCTCCTGTCCAACTCGCTCCCCGCCCTACGACAGCTCTACGTACGCGACCCAGACTTCCCAGAGATTCTCACGCTTGCACCTCCCATCCGCCCCTTTAGCGAAGCACCGCCGCCCACGTTCAACCAGCCTCTGGAGGTCTATTCGAAGGGCCTCGACGAACTGGAATGGATCTTCACGTCCATCATTCCCCCGGACGGTCCTGGACGCCGCATGTCCATGGCAGGTGGTCGCCCACTCAGCAGCTACTCTGCGCACAAGGGCCTCGGGCCACAGTGGGGCGGCGACGCAAGGAAGAGTGTTGTTGTGCCCAATGGTTTTGGAGGATTCTTGGCCATCCCCGCGGACGATGCCAGGCCGCGGAGCGCGGGACACGCTACCCCGAGTGGTGGCTTTGGTCACGGGTATTCAAACTCTCTGGGTAATCACAGCGAGTTCGCTCCTCCGCGCGCTAGCTGGATGAGCCACTCTGGGCGGGAGAAGCGGGCGTCGAGAGCGGATCTTTGGCGATGAAATGTGCCTTTTAACTTTTTCTCTGCACAGCCATTTGCGCTGTCTTGTTTCCTACTTCATCATCATCATCCTTCTTTTCACTTCTGGATACCCGTCCATTTTTAAGCATTCCTTCGTGTGCGATCTTTTGTACTATAGTTGACTGGAGTTTTGGTCGGCACTTGGACATGGGGGGGATAGGAGGGTTTATTGTTTTTTTCTTTTTTTTTGGGCTGCAGTGCAGAAGAAAAGGGACCATGACTTGATGGTTTAGACATGATGGTGGAGGGCGGACAAATACCTCTTGTTTTTGCAGGCTAGGGGATATGGGTGTCTGTATATAAAGAGATTAGCAAGTCATGCAAGTGTTTTTGCGATAGATTGGGATTTTTTTTGGTCTTTTTCGTCGTGGTAGAGGGGGTGAGAAGAGGGACTAGCATTTCTCTCTCTTTTCTGTATCTTTTGCCTCTTTTCTTTTCTTCTCTCTCTCTCCTCTCCTCCCTTCCACCCCTACACCAACCTCTCCAATTCCACCCACCCCCCATACTCAGGACTGCGACCCACACTCCCCACCCTCACACCCCTTCCAACTCCGCTCCTGGGCCCCCGCATCAACCGGACATCCAGCTTCTGCTCCCGTCCCTCGCAGACGCTGCACGCATGCCTTTATCCGCACTCGCCCGCGGCTACCGTGTTCGGGGACCCAGAGTTGCGGGTTTTGGGTGGTGCAGGGGAGGTTCCATGTTGGGAGGTTGGGATTTGGACTGCTTTGTTCAGTACTACCATTATCACTTCCTTCTCCTCCTCCTCCTCCTCCACCTCCTCCACCACCCCTCCCAATCCACCCTCCCAATCTCACTTCCCCCACTCCCATGACGAAACAACTCAGGCACCACACTCCAACACCTCCACCCAGCCCTACACCCCTCCCACAACACCACATCAAACGCACTCGCCCCACCCCCCGCGCCCCCCAACTCCCCAACTATCCGCCGCGCAGACGCCCGCGTCATCCCATACGCAAACGTGCAAAACGGATGCCGCGTCCGATACAGCAACCGCGTGTACACTGGCACACGCAAGGGTT